GTGACCACTGAGTGACCACTGAGTGACCAGAGTGACCACTGAGTGACCACTGAGTGACCACTGAGTGACCACTGAGTGACCAATGAGTGACCACAAGTGACCACTGAGTGACCACTGAGTGACCACTGAGTGACCACAGTGACCACAGCGACCAGAGTGACCACAGTGACCACTGAGTGACCACAGTGACCACAGTGACCACTGAGTGACCACAGGAGTGACCAGAGTGACCATGTGAGTGACCAAAGGGACCAGAGGGACCAGAGGGACCAGAGGGACCACGGAGTGACCAGAGTGACCAGGGGTGACCAGGGGAAGGAGCAGGGGTGACCAGGAGTGACCAGAACAATGGTGGTACCGCCAGCACAGCTGGTCCAGGTCCATGGTGGCACCATGACCATGGAGGAGACCATGGCTGGTCCAGAACCATGGTGGCCCCACAGAAGGTTCAGATCCATGGTGGCACCACCACCATGAGGAACCACGGCTGGTCCAGCACCATGGTGGCACCATGACCATGGAGGGAACCATGACTATGAGGAACCACGGCTGGTCCAGAACCATGGTGGCACCATGACCATGAGGGACACCATGACCATGAGGAACCACGGCTGGTCCAGCACGATGGAGGGAACCATGACCATGAGGAACCATGGCTGGTCCAGCACCATGGTGGAACCATGACCCTGATCATCCAGGCCCATGATGGCACCACCACCGTGAGGGAACCACAGCTGGTCCAGCACCATGGTGGAACCATGACCATGGAGGGAACCTTGACCATGAGGGGCACCATGACCCTGAGGAACCACGGCTGGTCCAGAACCATGGTGCCACCATCTCCACCCCAACCACCCCATGCCCACCACCACCATGAGGGAACCACGGCTGATCCAGAACCATGGTGCCGCCTCCACCACGCCCATCCCACCTCCACGGTGGCACCACCACTGTGAGGGAGCCATGGCTGGTCCAGCACTGTGGTGGCACCATGACCATGGAGGGAACCATGACCATGAGGGACACCATGACCATGAGGAATCATGGCTGGTCCAGAACCATGGAGGGAACCATGACCATGAGGAACCATGGCTGATCCAGAACCATGGTGCCACCACCACCATGACCATGGCACCACCACCATGAGGAACCACGGCTGATCCAAAACCATGGTGCCACCACCACCACCACCACCATGGCACCACCATGAGGAACCACGGCTGATCCAGCACCATGGTGGAACTATGACCCTGATCATCCAGGTCAATGGTGGCACCACCACCATGAGGGAACTATGGATGGT